TGTGTGTGTGTGTGTGTGTGTGCATGTGTGTTTGTGTGTGTGTGATTATGTATTTGTGGGCAGCAAATGCAGCAGCTACATCAGGTGCATCAGTTACTACTGCAGCAGCTGCTGTAGGTGTTGCATCAGCTGCGTCAGCAGATGTGTGAGTGTGTGTGTGCATGTGTGTGTGGGGTGTGTGTGTGTGTGTGTGTTATGATCCTGGCTATCTCGAAGTGCAAAAACTCAAAGAAAGACAATGGTGTTCAATTGCAACCGAAATGAACTTGGAAAGAGAAATAGACAAAGGAAGAAGAAGACAGAATACCGGAAGACCACGACGAAGAAGACGAGCACCAGCAAAGACCAATGTCAATTATCTCCAACCTCCAATTACTCCTCCAACTTCTTTTCAAAAATCCTTCCCTCATGACCCAGCTGTCCTCTCTCCTTCGTCTTGGCGACCCCTCCCCTCCTCCCCTCTCTATGGCGGGTTTCCTCTCCCCGATAGCGATGACACTGCTTCCAGGCCTCCTTTCCTCTGGCCGCTCCTTTACTGTCAGCCGCTAGTCTGCCCTGCTGCGTTCCCATTGTCCCTCCGTTGCCAGCGCTTTCCGCTGCCTCTGCTCGACGATGGCGATGGCGCTGCTCCTTTCCACTCCACGATGGCGCTACGATAGCGCTGCTGATCACAATGGCATGGGCGATGGCGCTGCTCCTTTCCGCTCCACGATGGCACCACGATAGCGCTGCGGATCACAATGACACGGGCGCCGGCACCCGTGTGAACCTGGATTGCCGCCCATTGGCAATAGTCCCAGGAGCCCGTTTGCTGGGTACACGCTCCAATTGGACCCGCCCCCATCGAGAAACTTCCCGAAACCGGGCCGGACGTGACTTTTCCGTTCAGTCGGGGGTGAGTTTCCATTGGGCCCGCCCCTGTTCGCCCGTTTTTTTTCCAACGCTGGCGATTTGGGTCTCACGCGGCAGCGTCATGTGAGACCCGCTGTTGCTTTAAGAAGAGTAAGGGATAACAATAAAAGAACTGAACCAGATCGCATGTCTGAATCCTCTCCTTACTGCCAGCCACTCAAGAGGTCCACCATAGCCATCTAGTACACCTTCTTCCTCCTTGGTCAAGCAGGTGGCCATGGTGGACTGGCAAAGTGGAGCTCCGATGTTCAAAGGACAGAGCAAAGCTAATGTGTCCCTCCTACTATAGCCATACCTATCACTACCCCTGAAGTCTTCCTTGTAGAGGTGAACCACAACTAGGGCCTTCCAGGTGCAGCACCAACAAAGAAGATGAAGAGGCAGACCACCATCGCCAGGTAAGCACCTCCGTCACTCTCCTCCTTGCTCACCGTCTTACTCCTCCTATTACCACTTCCCCGGATTCTCCTCCTTGCTCCTCTCCACCATAGCCACGGTGGAGGGCCAAACCCACCTTCTTCTTTCCCAGCGCTACTACACCTAGCACTTGCCCAAGCAGCGTGACACCGAACTGCACGAGTGCAAATGAGGAAGAGCTCTTCGCTCTCTCAAATAGCCTTGGGACGGTTACCTTTTAATTCTTTTCAAGATGCTTTAGTAACTAAAGCATCTTGAAAAGAATATTAGAATATTCCATTGATTGAAAATCAAAGATTTTAATTTGATCTTTCTAATGAATATTCATAATTCAAAAAAAAAAAGAATCTAATAATCTATATAAAAAGATAATCTATATAACTTAAAGAATGCAATTCATGCAGTATTAAGATAAATAATAATA